GCGGAGGTGAGGTGAGGTGAGCGCTGGCGGCGGGGCTGCGCGCCTGGGAGGGGGTGTCCGCCAGTTCCCCGATGACCCAGTGACCTCCTGCACTTCCCGAGTCCCGGCTGCTCGGCCTCCGCCCCGGCCTTCACCCCCGGGGTGAAGACGGGTCGGGGACCTGCACCCCCCTTTTCTCTCCATTTCCCCGCTCTGGCGTCAGCCTCCGCGCGCTCCCTCCCGGTACCCGGATAGGTTCGACATTCTCGAATCCCGGTTCCCCCACTTCCTGGGACCAGGATGCCAGCCTCCCCAAAGCCCGGGGACAAGGTGAGGACGGGTCGGGGACCTGCACCCCTTTTCCACTCCTCCTCCCCTCCAATTGCGCCGGCACCAGCCTTTGCGCCCCTCCCAGCGCCCGGCTGGTTTGTAGGCTCCTGCACCCCCGTTCCTCCCACTTCCTAGGGAAGGGCTGCAGCTCGCCCTTCCAGCCCAAGTCACCTCCCGCCCAGCCCCAGGCATCTGCACCGCTCCCAGCCGGTACCTTCCCCCAGCAGCCTTTCAGCGCCTCTTTCCGCAACCTGCCCCGGTTCCCTCGCCCTTGCGCCCTCTCCTCCTCGAAACCCTCGGGCCGGGATGCTTGTTCTAACACCCTGACAGCCGGCGCCCACCCTGCAACCCCGGCATCCCTCGCCCACGCCTACGCGGGCTTCCTGCCTCTTGTAAATGCGGTTGTGTAACGCCGCCGCCGCCCCGCCGGTCGAGCACGTGCAACATTTACATCCTGGAACCCGCAGTCCTTGGGGGGATGCCAAGTTGACTGAGGGAGGTAGGAAGGGAGGACGAGGGTGCCAGAGGGTCTAGAGGTTGTGCATCCAGGGGTATGTATGTTGAGCGCTTTTTATGCCCCAGGGGCTTTGAGGGAGGTAGGAAGGGAGGACGAGGGTGCCAGAGTGTCTAGAGCAGCGGTTCTCAATCTGGGGGTCGAACGACCCTTTCACAGGGGTCGCCTAAGACCATCGGAAAACACATATATTATTGTTAGCAATAACTGACAATAAGCAAGTACTGCGTGCCAGGCCATGTTCTAAACACCTTTAAGTGATAACCTGCCTTACTCCTCCCAGCTGCCCCAAGAGGTAGGTACCAATGCTCCGCCCATTTCTCAGAGGAAGGTGAGACTCCCTGAGATGGTCTCTTCCCAGGACATTCAGTGAATCTGACCTCAACCACCCCATTCTGAATCATTAGACCTATTTTTACCCAATTGTAAATAATAAATTCTTATGAACAATATTTTTATAATATGGGAAATTAGAAAGAAGAGAAATTAATAACCTGTGTTCCTAGCACCAATTCTTAGCAATAACTGACAATAAGCAAGTACTGCATGCTGGGCCATGTTCTAAACACCTTTAAGTGATAACCTGCCTTACTCCTCCCAGCTGCCCCAAGAGGTAGGTACCAATGCGCCGCCCATTTCTCAGAGGAGGAAGGTGAGACTCCCCGAGATCGTCTTTCCCAGGACATTCAGTGAGTCTGACCTCAACGACCCCATTCTGAATCACTAGACCTATTTTTACCCAATTGTAAATAATAAATTCTTATGAACAATATTTTTATAATATGGGAAGTTAGAAAGAAAAGAAATTAATAACCTGTGTTCCTAGCACCAGTTTATTTTTCTAAAATTAGGTTCTCAGATCAGCAAGGGGTTCTTGGTGCCCAAATTGCTCAAGGGACTTGCTGGAGGCCACACGGCTAGAAAGTACCAGGGGTGGGGTGCAAAACAGCTCCTGGGATGGTTAATGGCTACTTTCTGGGTTCCCTGTGCTGCCCCAGCCCATCAGCCTAGGCCCCTGGAGACGACGCTGCCTGTTGGGGTCCTGCAGCAGGTCCAGGGGTTCC